TTTGAAATAGCATTGTCCTGGAGAAAAAGGAGAAAAATGTAAGGCTGCAATGTAAACATCAACACTTGAGTACGCCAGAGACTCTGGAGACCAGACCTTTGAGACAGAATGTAAATTCGGCATCTAGGCACTTCCAAGCGAAGTGAAATGGCAGCCCACTAACTGCATCCCAAGCAAAACCTGCTCTGCTCCAGATGGGCTGTCAGGCAGCCCTTCTAGCAGGAATTCCTACGCAAGGAAAAATAAATACAAAAGCTACATCACTTCGAAATGCCTCCGGAACCTGAAGCAGGAACAGCAGCTACTCCCAAACCTGTGATTGTAAAACTGCTGTACAACTCTCACCCCTTCTACAGCAGGGCCTACATCTCATTATTTTTGAAGTGTCCAAGACACTTATGATTTCATTTCAGTGTATGCCCAGCAGCACTCACAGCTGAACAGCAGAGTAGCCATGCTCTCAGCTCATGCTAAATCTCTGGCTCAGGCTAGGGAGTAGATGTTCAGATGCCCGTTCTGCCTGACGAACTTAAATAAGTATGCCGGGAACACGCCAAGCTCCTGAAGTTCACGAATCCCTGCTTCAGGGCACTGAGAAGCAGAGGCATCACCTACAAGCCTCAGAAAACAAACACGGGGGCACAAGGAAATGTACAGCAAGACGGTAAAAAATGAGTTCAAGGCACAGATTTTCTGACAAGGGAAAGAAATCTCAAATGTAACACAGCACAGAGGCCGTGCAAAGAGAGCCCGCCAGAAGCAAATCCTACTAAAACAGGACACTGTGATAGTTCAGGAACAGACAGGTTAATAAGGCATCACAGGAAAGGAGGCGAGTACTCAGGGTGGGAAGGACAGGCCTGCAGAGCAGGACAGTGGTGACAGACAAGGCAAAAAAGGCATGTTCCAGGGATACATGGAGCACTAGGGAGAACTCAAGTGCCAAATCTCACCCTGTGTGTACCAGCCCTTACACTGGGGTTTTGTGACACTCCGTTCATTCCATTTCACTCCAGGCACAATTCAGAGCTTCTGTGACACCCATGAGAGCAGTGCTCCTTGCCCACAACATCCTCTGTCACTTTGCAAGTAACAGTAAATCATCAGCTGCTTGCTACCATTTTTGCTTATACTCCGTAAAACTCTCAGAGGATCCATCACCCAGCAGAGCACGCTGGGATTTGTTCCGGACTCCCATGGTACAGGGTGCCTCAAGCAGCGGCTGCCAGATTCACAAGGTCACCATGGGAAGCACACGTATACACCAACCAGAAGAGAACACATGCTAAAAATGGGGCAGTAGGAATTACCACCAGTACTTGAGGTGACATGACCATGTCTACACAATACTGACATCTGATTTTTGCAGTTGCTTCGTTCTAGGATAATCCCCTCAAATGACTCATGCAAGGGAGGCAATAGCTCAGCAGTCCATGAACATCTTCCTTCACGAATGCGTTAACATACTTTCTCTTCACTGGAACTGGAAGCACCCTTAATCCTGCCATCAGACCTGGAGCTGAACTCTTGCTTCTTGCTTTGGTATTTAATTCCTCTTCAGGACACAGGACACAGCAACAGTTTTACATGGTGTTTAAGCTGGATGTCTTGCTGTAACATAACAGAGGTGTGTGCTTGGGAGCAGTACACTCTTCTCCATCCTTGCTAAGGGTTTGATTTCTGTTTAGCAAGACTATTCGGCAATATTCTGCAATAACGTTGCTTATAAAACGAGCTGTCAGGCATGCAAACATGGGCACACACCTACACTATCAGGCTAGTTGCTTGCTAGTACAGTTCCTTGACTACATGCAGTACTTAATTATCTGTGACTGTCAGTGCCTCGGGCCTGGGCAGCTGTCCTCGCAGAGAGCCAACACAGAATGCCTGTTTCTTCCCAGTTCAGGCTTTTTTTTTCTTTGCCATGAACTCTCTCTCAATGCAGTGGCCGTTTTTTTTAATAAAGTTTGCTCCCTTCTCCTCCTGTCACAGCTTTCTACGACATTGGGAAATACCTAACAGTGAGCAGGGAACTCAGTGGTACAGCATCTTTGCACTATGGGCCGAGCTCAGGGAATAGCACGAGTAATTATAAGGCCTAGGCCCTTTGCTGTCACGAGGTGTGTCAGATTCCTGATAAATTCTATACTGCAACTTAATGCAACTTTTCAGAAGACATTCTGCAGCTACGCAGACTCAACCCTTGCTATTTTAAGGGAAGCAACCTTGTCCCAACCACTTGTCACATTCAACTATCTAACTTTGTTAACTAATTAGAGGTCATTACAATGAAAAAGGTTACATGGGCTAAATTCCCAGTCAGTTCTTCACATGGTCCAGCCCCACAGCTGGATTCTGGAAACATCTTTAAAGAAAGACTATGACTGCTCTCCTATCTCTGCACCTTGTAAACCCTGTTCTCTATCAGCTTGTCTTTTTTGCATTGATTTTGCTCCCTTCACACTCTGTGATTAAATGTTCTCCTCTTCCCCAAACTTACTGTCTGCAGTGCCTTTTGCCTAGGCTCGGAGTCTGGACAAGAACGTGCTGGAAACAAGCAGCTTTGCACTGCTGTTCTGCAGCATACGAGCACGTAGAATTGCTGTGTTCTCATTTTACATGCATGCTGCATTGGAAGCAGATCCTGCAACTTGTTCTGTTCAGCCAGAGGTATCTGTGCAAGAGAACGAGAAGAGTGGAAAGGCTTCTCGTCTGCTGTACATAGGATTCCTTTCATGTGCGGCACGGATAGTCCTCAGGATAAGTCTCCTCTCCCCAGGGAGCAAAACCTCCCTATACTCCTGTACAGGCGTGTCGGGCATTTACTGCAGCGGCTCTCCCTGCAGGAACCAGACATTTAGCAGTTGGACACTGTAGCACTGAGCTTTTAACCCATTCACCCACAGCTGTGTCTATTTTACCAATAATTTGTTGGGATGGAACAAGCTGAAACTCCTGAAGCAATCTGGATCAATTCTCCAACTAATACAGTTGATTTTTCGACTAATAGTGTTTTCTTAATGTGAGTTATGTATAAAATATGACTGTACAAATTTAAGAAGAAAGAAAGAAGAGCCCTGGGAAGAATGACATAATTCTGCTTTCTGCGAGCACACAGTCCAAGGAGATGACACATTACAAAGGAGTAATATCACACTGAAGAAACAGGGAATTTAATTTTTGAAACACAGAACTCCAGATTTAATATAAAACTCTAGGAGACAGATGCTTATTTGCTTAACTGTGTCCTGGGAGCCCATTTTCAGAAAATGGAATCAATTTGATTCCTCCAGGTACGTGCATAGCATATATTCAAGACCCAGCAAATGGGTATTTTCAGCCCCAGAAACATGCTGTTTTGCTTACTCACATTAAAAAACTGAATGCATGAAAGCACTGGGTTCCTTTCTGTTAAATAAATAAATACCATCTTCTTGTGTGCTCCTAAACAGAAAACATCATTACAAAAAGCCACCAGGAGGCAGCAGATTAAAACATCTGTGCGATGAAGAGTGGTCTACAACAATAAAAACAAAACAAAACCAAACCCCCCCAAACCCCGCCCCTCTCCCAAATCTTCAGCCTGATATTTAGCAAATGTATTCTCCCCACTTCCCTCCTCGTCATTATGCGTTACATACTGATCTTTCTCCTTCTCTACATATCTGAAATTAGCAGCAATTCCACTGCTGTCAAACAGCTTACTGCAGGCACACAGAAACTCATATCTGGAATATCATTTAGTGGAAAAAATGAGTAAACAAAGAAGGTAGATACGACAAAATACAAAGCCTCCCAACAGACTGAACCGCGTCGGCTTCCTCTGGGGTTTACCGAAACATTCCAAACCTCTGAGCTCTCTCCTAACTTTTTCTTTTTCTTTACAAATACACAGCAAAACGCCACCCAAAAGGAAGCCCTGAAATGTCCACCAACGCAGGAACACGGTGTGGCTGACGGGCAGTGCTCCTGCCCCCCTGCCACGCTGCTACAGGTCTGGCCCGCAGTGACGCTGCCCCGGCACAGACCCAGGGCAATGACCCAGCTCCGCACTCGGTGACCCACGGAAGCTGGAAGCTGTCTTCTCTCCTCCTCCCTCCTGGCCCTTCTTTTCTGCTGCTATAAAGGACTGTTACTCAGTTGTGGCTCAGCATAGGGTAAGAGAGCCTAAAATCACTACAGACATACATGAAAGCTTTTAAACTGGTACATTATTTAAAATGCTAATTATTTATGGACTTTAACGCATTTTATGTTCTGCAACGCTAAACATGCAGTAACTGCTCTTACACTATCTTGTGTTACAGGCTGAGCATACGAAACACAGTAAGGCAGCTACAGAGATGTGCAAACTACCTAAAACATTACTAAATATGGACCTATAAACAAAAGGTATGTCCAAAATCTATCAACCAAGTCCAGTACAAATGGTGTACAATCGGGTCCTCAGGAAAGGCAGTTAAGAACTAACCGTAAGACAAATCACAAAAGCAAACATTCATCTTTTCAAACTGCAAATTTGGCTCATGAGAAGCTGCATCTGTGTCTCCGACATCCTAATTCAAACAGATACTACACATTTTCCAATGCAAAAATCACACTTAATTGGGAAATTAAAACACACTCACAATGTCAGCAGAAATCACAAATTTATTAATCCTTAAATATATCAATCATTTACCATTATGGCAAGAAATATGTACACTGTGTCCCACGGTAAACTGCAGTGTTCCAAAATGACAGAAATGTATCATTCAGTTGTGGTGGAGAGAACAAATCACAATTTCCTCACGTCTTGGTGTGGAAGACAAACTTGGTCTACAGTAATACGTCAACACCACATGCTATGTTAGAAGTATAAAAAAAACACCCTACACCTAATTTGTTAATTTTAAATACAGTTATGCCACTTATAGCCGCTTCACAAAAAAAGGTAAAGAAATTAATGAGAAAAAAAATGAGGCCATTACTTTTTCACAGATCCCATTGGCAGGTTAATATGGCTCAACACATTTATTGTAGATGCTTGTTTTAAATATATATTGTTTAAAATCATGTAGTAATTATCAGAGAAGCTTAAATCCATCTACCATACATCCACTAGTAACAACATCAAAATGTTTAAGAACTGCTTTTGATTATCATCAACACAGAAAGGTGAAATGATACAAATTAGGAAGCTTTCCTATTTTAAAAACTTCAGGCTGCCGAGTTGCAAATTTTTAACCTCTAAAAAGGACATGGATTGAGATATCATGCACTATACAGCGCTGCAGAAAACAGTTAGCCCTGCTGGTAACAGAACAATTAACACATGAAAAAAAGAAAAAAACCGATCCCTGTATTTTTCTATTAAAAATGGAAGGGAACAAACCTAAATGCTTGCAAGATGTACTTTCACAGCAACATAAGGGAAGCAAAAATAGTCCCTGTTACAAAGTCTGTGTTCTGAACTGACACTGAGAGCACTCCCCGCTCCACGTACAGGTGTCTGCAGCAAGTCATCAGTGGCCAAAGCAAGTTGGTAATGCTGCAAAGGTGGCTGTCCTTGACACTGTACGCTGCACGAGGTTTTTAAGAAACCAAGAGCAGACTGAAGGGGAAGAGGGGGGGGAAACAAATCTGTAGTAAAGCGTTAAGAGTCTCATTAGAAAACTGGTGTTACATGCGTAACACATTTCCAGAGAAGCAACAGCAGCAGTGTAAAATAAGTAAACTCTTCATACTAAGCTTTTAAGGCCTAATATTTCTCGAGTATATTAACCACACAACTGGTTTACAGCTTAACCAGAAATTTGTATTTTTTTAAAGCCTCCTTAAAAAATTTACAGTACACCCTAAAAGTGATAAAAATCTTTCTCTCTTCCATTTTAGTCCTCAAAAACTGCCCCTCAATCATCACTTAGTTCCTTAAAATTTTTAATTTTGCTTAATCATCCAATAGAAATTGGATAGCATAGTAAGAAAGCAAAGGTAAAGACTCAAAAGAAAAAAAGAAGCTGCTGGTTCACCAGAAGATTGACAGCTAAATCTGAAGTGACCAAACCAGCAAATGATGAGATTTTTCCAGTTTACAGAGACTAATAAACCAGAAAGGCTTCAGCTGGTACAAAGCCAAGGTATTATCACTTCCACATTTATCAATGATTTCGTCCATCTACACGCTGTAATAAAAATCTGTTTTACAGTATCGGAGCTGCCAGCGGAAATCCTAACCATTCCTGCCAGAACTAAAGCAAAATCCTGGGACTCAGGGGCAAAGGAGAAGTCAAAAAACAGTTCTTAAAAAAAGAGGGTAAACTGTACTTTTTTTATATATATATTTTTTTAATAAACAGGATAGTTTTTAAAGTTGTCTGTCAAAACCTGGCATAAATGGAGAAAGTGACAAATGTATTCTGTATCTACTGCTGTCTACCAAATACTTTTTTTCATCTTTTATGCCTTGTTATTCTCTATTTGCATGGAACGTCACCTTCATTGAAATGTTAACAGATGGAATATACAGCAATATGGTGCATCACAAATGTGTTACATGAAGAACCTTCACAACTTCATGCACTCAGAAACATGCATGAAGAGAACGGGATGGCCAAGATGGTAATCAACCAGGTGCGTTGGGTACAGAAAAATGCAAGAGCGGCACCGCTGATATTTTTAGCTAGGAGGAAGGAGAAAAAAAAAAAACAGATTGCCATTACTGAAGTAACGCCACCACCAGACAACAATACATGCTCAAGTGTTAGCCAATACTATTAAAAAACAGTCTTCTCAAGGTCATTTAACACAATATTGTGCAGAAAACCAAGGGAAAAAAAAACCCCAAAACGCTCAGGCAAAGCATTTTTTTATTTTTCAAACCACTTTACAGACATTTTCCACCTTTACAACATGCCAGAGAGGCTGTTAAAATAAAAAAGGAAACTGAGGCAGGAAGCGGATGTGCCTTAGTTGATTTCTTAAAGGTGGCAGGGCAGAAATCAGATGTGAATCTCTTGAGTTTAACTTGCTTCTTCAGCATGTACATTACAGCCACGGACTCAGATTCTCACACAAAAACCGAACCAAGTAACAAGGAAGAATCCTATGTTATTTACATGCAAGACATGCTAGAGCCGTATGCAAAGAGTAAACGAAAGAAAAGGAAAGTGTAAGCAAGTAGTTAACTATCACAGCTTATAGCATCATTTGTATTACCGTAGCATCTAGGGGCCGAAGTCATGACTGGGATCCCGCTGTGCTAGGCACTGTACAAACACAGAACAAACTCTTTACTTTAGTCTTCCTGCTATCTGGAATTTAACTCATGAAAGTATAAGGTGGTGTAAGGTGTGGTAAGTGAGAGAATGTAAGCCCGGGAGCCTCAGGTCTGAATTTAGGTTTGGGAGTCAGTTTTAGGTCCAACAGCCCTTTGACTGCCCATATCATGCAGGTCTACTCTCTGTGCACATGCAGACACAGTTCTGCAGAAGCATTAGCACAAGTTCTTAAGAACATGGAATACAGAGAAAGATTTCCTACCATCAGTCGTATCACTCGGAGAGAAACAACGGACAAGACACAAACCAAAGTTTGTCTTGTCTGACTCACAGCAGTAACTACAATTAAAATTTATTTATAAACTAAATATACATTTGTGCTCACATTCTTTCCCAAATAAATATTCTGCCATAAGGAAATATTTCCATACACCTATAGCTACGAAGAGCTCAGTCCTGTCCTTAGGTTTATGCATACTCCTTAGTGTAGTCCTGAGAACAAATAAGCTACTGCTGTGCTTGCAGCAACTGATCTGACATAATCTAGGATCTTATGTTTGCAGAAGCAGATCACAGCTATAATTGCTTTTGCAAGTTTGTTAGATTTTAAATTCTTCTTCACATATTATGTGTAAGATACTTTTTTATTATGGAAGTGCCATTATTATCTGTGTCCATTGGTAATAATTAAATACATAGCTGTAGACTGTATAAATTTCAAATACGAGAAAAGAAAGGAAGGATAATCTATAACAATATTTTAATTAAATTTCTTCTGTAGTTTTCTAAAATGGAGTTATCGGTACACTGCTGCTCCGACTAGGAAAAGCAAAGTTGAAGTTCCCAGGCAGTCTAAAAGACGGTCAGGATGGGTTATAGCAGGCGGATTCTGGCATGGCGCTACATGGGAATCTATCACTTAAACTTGAGAAGATGGGGATTTAAAGAAAGAATATGTAAAATAACCAAAAGAAAAACAACACTGCTTGGGCTGAAAGGGGAACTATCAGCCTAGAGAAGACTAACTAGTTTTTGCCAATGACCTGAGCACAAGCAGTAGGACTGATCTCATGCAGTATACTTACACTTAGGTGGAAGGCACTATAAATACAATGGAAAACAGGAGTATTGTGCAAGAAGAATGAAACAACCTTGAAGGCTGGGTAATCCAGAAATGTTACATGTAATAACACGAAGTACAAAACTGCACACTTGGCAAAAGTTTCTATATACTCCTTGGTTGGAAATGACAGTCAAGGGTAAATACACGGCTGTCTTACATGATCTGCTGATGTGATGTGGATGGCAGAAGTATAAAAATGATGCCAGAACATAGCAGGTGTGGCATTCTCAACAGGGAAAAGACAGACATTGTAAAGTTAAATAAAGCCCTGACCACAATTGTGCACATCAATTGAGAAGAACCCAAACTAATCAAAAGACAAACCTCAAACTGAAAAAGAGAGTGAAGAGCTATTAAGGTAGCCAGGAAAATGAAGATCCTGTCAAAAAAAGCCAACCAAGTTAGCACTGTATATTTACCCTACAAAAATAGAAAGGTGGGAACTGATCTGATGAGCCTTCATATAAAACAGGTCATGTCTGCATACCTATCCCCAGTATAAGAGAACAACGATGAAATAAGAATAATAAAGGATATATTGAATACAACTAAAATTTATACTGGAAAGTAAGGTTTCTAACCATCAGACCATGATATTTTAGAACAGTGATATGAGCAAGTCCAAAAAAACCTCTCCGAATTCAAGATGAGAGTTAGGTAAGGGATTTATGTGATATTGTTGCCAGTGCTAGACAGGGGCTACGCATGTAGGGCTATGTTGCAATTTCAGAGCATCTCTCCTTAAGCCTTAGCCATGCTTTAAGGCTTTGAGCCGCTACTCCTCCTCTGTGACCTTTCAGCTTGGATACCCTCTTGCAACCCTGAACTCTCCTCTGCCTGACCCCACAGGCTCAGAACACCCACTGACAGACACAACCCTGCAGTCTTAAAAAAATCACACCTCGCAGCTGCTTCTCCTTCCATCCTTAGCAGTCCCAGAAATCCTTACCTTTATTAGAGAGCATGAGCAACTATAAAGAATTGATATTACATGACTCCTAAATACTGGCACTGCTACTTAGGGGCAAATCTCAGACCTGTACGTACGATTGTATTCCCTTGAGACGTGCAGTCTGAAGGGCCAGGAGTTGCTCTGTGGCAGCTAGTGCCTGCCCTTTATATTCCAGAGAAACCACCTCTGGGGAGTGTTGGTATGAGCAGCATGTGTCACAGCGCGCAGCAGCCCATCACACATGTGATGACTCTAGAAAGTATTACTCAAATAATTATTACAGGAGTTACTGGGCAAATTCTGTAATCTTCCATGAAAATAGTAGTAAGATGGCTATTTTGTTGCCTTCTGCTTTTGATGTATAAGAGTCAGTGTCATAAATTACCTTTTTTCTTTAGGATTGTTTCCTATCAATACGGTTAGGTTAAAAAAAAAAAAAGACCCTCCAACCCTCTCAGAAAACAGAGGGGGGAAAAAAAAACCCAAAGGAAAAGATTAAATAATTCCCTAGTGCAGTTCATGTCATTCTGCTGCAAACACAGGGTGCAGTGGGACAGGTGAACCTGCTTCACTTATGCCTTGTGCTTTCTGGCTCTACACATACCCAGATCAGACCCCTTGACAAAACACTCCTTTATGAAGACACCAAAAATCTACGTAACACTGCATTTCAAGAAAATGTAGCTACTCTTTCAACATTATCTGTTTAAATACCGACAGTGCAGCTGGAATGTGAAAACAAAGGATGCCATGGTTCCTGCTCCAAATGGTTTCATATTTTTAAATAAAATGCAACAGTTACCATTAGGTAATCGAATTACTTTTTTTCCTGAATTAAAAAAAAAATCATCCCCACTGAAGCTTAACACTTCATTCTCTCATGTTCCTTACTTTATCAAGTATTACTTCATACGGGAGAATAGTGTTGCAAGAAGTCAAATGTGGGACATGAAGAAGTTTGAAGGATGCAATGTAAGCTCATCCACGTCGAAAAATTCAACCGCTATCCACATTAAGACACCTCACACACATGTAATTACATCCTATACAGAGGGCTTGCACCTGAGCAAACCAAGGCCTACACCAGTGCTGCCTAATTTGGAAACAGCCTAACCTAAGCCAGAAGTCAGTGAGGTTGGGATCCGAGGGACACAGCAGCACTAGCGAAGGCTGCAAGCAGAAAAGGAAAGGACTTGAGCAAAACCTCTTGAAGAAGCTGTGGCTCTTTACTTTGTCATTGCAACTATGAGTGTGCTGTGACTTACGCTGCTGATAATCTGGCTTAGGGAATTCAGGTCTGCGCACGTTGAGTCATGGCATGACTCTGACGGTATGAGAGGGCATGCAGAGATGCCCAAATGAACAAAAGAGAAAAATGATGATGGGAGAGGCTTACCCACAGGGATGTCATAACTATCAGACAGTGAATATACAGCAGTTAAGCAAAGAGAGTGTGGGAAAAGAGATAAGGATGTGATAGGTACTTGTATGACTTAATTTACAAAGTAAATATGTAAACTGGTTCAAAATCAACTTCCAGTGAACATAACTAGGCCTGAGAAAGCAGAGGTGGCTGAAAATTACAACAAATATTACTGAAACTTCATTTTTTCAGAACAGTGATACTTTTTTCCCTGAAACTTTCTGGTCAGCTCTAACAGCTCATGTATCCTACTGTTTTTTGGCTTTTTTCAGGTTTTCCTGAAATTTTATTTCAGATTTTCCAACCCTATTTTGTGTGAATTGTATCAAGTCTTATCTACATTAAAACATTTTTCTGCTCTTCAAGCTGTCAGTTCAGTGACTGAGCTGGATCAGCGGGCATCACAGTTGAAAACAACAACAAAAAAGCATTATTTTAAAAATATTTGCACCAATACTATATGCACACTACTGAATATAATACATACTGCATAAATGACCACAAGAAATTACACTATCAAGAGGACGGTTTCATAGTTTTTAAGGCCAAAAGCAGTTGTTAGACTGTCTGGTCTGACCTACATCGTTTAAACTTGTGGTCTGAATTGTTTCTTACTTGATAGGTACTGTTGGTGACCCTGAACGGTGAAAATGAACATTCTGCCACTTCCCATCACGACGGTGCCAGACCCGCGTTTCCTCTGACTGCATAGTCTTTGGCATTCCACTTCCATCCATGTACTGTGTGAGCCGTATATACGCAATGCAAGCAGCATCATCACCCACAAGGTGGACGTGAGGATTGAGGATAATGGTGTGGATTGGCTTATTACTTTTGGATAAAGCTAGGAAACAAAACACACACACACAAAGGATAAATTAAATTTTCTCTATGTGAGCCAAAATAACTCATATCACCCTACTTTACAAAACAAAAGTCTCAGGCTTAGCAGATACAAAGTAATAATTATTGTTTACTGATCATCATGACTGATAACTAGCTCAAGTACATTGTAGAAACAAGCACAGTCACAGCATAAAGTATGTGTTCCCCTTTCCTATAAAGAAACCAATCAAAAGTTTAATAGTATGTATTATTTAATCCATATGCATACATGGATTAAATAAAGTGGGGGTCACCATCCTGAGTTTCCCAGTTGAGTTCTCCCAATACTTCAGTTTCAATGTTGTGTCTAATGCCTGATGTAATTTGTACTTAATATTTTCAGTTAAAATAATTCAGCTGTTAGCTCACTCTGACATATTTTATTAAGTGCTGATATCTATGAAAACTAAAAAGCAGCAGTAATGAAAGGAAACATTTTAAGTAAAAATATGGAAAAATGTTATTTTGGAGATGGAAGATAATTTAGGAATGCAACTATCCCATTTTATGCTCAGACATTTCTCAGAAATTACTGGATAAGCTTATACCTTAATTTACAATATTTTATTTCATTTTGAGTCAAGTCTGCTCTAAAATGGTTAACTATATTACGCGATCCTCCAAAACTTTATTAAATCCACTCTATCAGTAATTTTTCTTTCTTATAGCTGACATGATCAAATTATATATATAGAGAGAGCATATATATTGATGTTTTCATGTGTGTGTATATATACATACACACACCAATGCAAAAGACAGCTGATCAGGTCCTCAGCCATATAGACCTGAGTGACTACAATGTCTTCCCCCATACATCACATTCTCACTGGAAGTGCAGACTGTTAGTTGCAATCACTGCAATCACACGATCTAGTGACCCTTCTTTTAAGTATACTCACAGCATGATTTTCTCTTTCCCCCAGTGGAAAAAAAAATGTGTAAGAATTACTTATCTATGCTTTGTTTGTTTTTTCTTATAAACATCTTGACTTTCTCTTTCCAAATGCCTGAAACTTTCCTCTGCTATGCAGGGTGCCCTATTATGTGTGAATAAGCGCAGCACAAACAGACAGGAAAACACATATAGCAGAACCCTGGAAGAAAAAAATAACACTCCCTTCCCCTGCCCAAATCAATTAACTCCCAAACCAAAGTGCTAATTAGACCGGAGAAACACAATCTCAAGGAAAAGATGACGATTCACAGAGATGAAAAAGGAATGTTTACCATTTTCAAAGTAAAACCGGTGAAAGTCCATCCCTTCTACCAGATTACCCAAAGCTTCAGGTTCAAAAGATGTCAGGCCTGGATCACAGATTTTTCTGTGGAAAAGAGCAAATTCTGTAATAAACACATGCAGTTATGTAACACAACTTTGGAGAGATTGCTTCATGCTTAGATGTTTCCTTTATTCCCATCGGACGTGTTACTCACCTGTGCCACCACACTGGAAAAGAACAAAACTTAAATGGGGAGAAGTAATGGAGTTCTGGTTTCACCTGAAGTACAAACTTGGCAGCTTAGTTTAGGTGGACTAGATTTCACATAACTCATCTTCTGACCAAAAAAAAAAGACTGCCAAAGAAGGCCCAAGTCAGTGCTATTACAGCTAACAATTTTTAGTTGTGACTCTGAAAACTGCTTCTGTGCAATCCCAAAGGATGTATTTTATGTCTCGCGTCATTATTTAAGCAAGACTTAATTTTTTTTTTCAACTGGCAAAATTTAGATAAGAATTTGGAAGAAGTTTCCACTTGACATTTGTAGAACAAAGGTTTTAATGTGATCATACCAAACAAAAGTTTAATGCTGGCAAGTCTTTAAACAGGACGAGCAGTGTTACTGTTGAACAGTGAGGCTTGTGCTGCAACAGGATAGAATCCACGCAGAGATCCACAGGAGACCAAAAGAAATGCTGAGAAGGGCTCTCCCCTACTTTCTAAAATTTTTTTGGAGGTAGGAAGAGAAGAGCAGCAGTGATGAAATTGTGTCTTTGCAGAGGAAAGCTGAGAGAGAAATTGTCCCACTTTCCCCCAGCAAATTCTTGCCCAGTGCTCATTACAGGCTGGTAGAACCTAAATTCCACGTGGTCTTTCACACTCTGAAGTACAAATGGGATTCCAGCTAATATCAATCTCTACATACAACAACAAAAAAAAATCTGTTAAAAGAGGCTTCTACTGTGTTTTCAAACACTATTTTACTTTCGTACACCAAGATAGACCGCTGCATATTTTGTGTCAAGATTATGAACCTGTCTTGGCTGAGCAGTACGGTGGACTTACACTAGCAGCTCCTCTGAAATAGGCAACCAGGCTTGTGTAAAGCTGGGGCAAAGCAGCAATGAACATGTCTTGTGTTTCTTGGGGGTATCTGAGAATGAACTTCAAAAATACATAAATACAAACACACACACTCATATATAAATATGCATATTCATATATATAGTGTCAAAATATGAACTCTCCTCATTCCTTCCCAAATGAGAAAACTTACGTGTAAGCTTCAAAGTCCCCATTGTTGATAGCTTCAATCAACTGCTCAGTGACCTTGATAATCTCTTGCTTACGAGCTAGGGAGAGATACAAATACAACTGTTAAAATGGAAAGCAAAGTGGAAGGTGGAAACTGAAAGGCTGTCAGAAGAACAGCTGTAACAAAGGTATTCTGTTATTCCTCAGCTGGCACAAGAGCCATTTCTCTTCCTTTTCTATGACCAGAAGACAGGATGTTATATTGCTGCTTTACACTGTTCCGGCATTAGTGTACTCCTGTATTCATGAGCAAACTAAACACTTGTCAGGATCAATCCACTTTCCTATCATGCTTCTAATCTTCTTTCCTTCACTCAAGGATCTGCTGTTTAAAAAGCAAAACAAAACCAAACCCAAACCCCAACTCTTAACTTCAAGTTAAAGTAAACTGGTTATTATTCTACAAGCGATGCACTAATGTTTCCTATACACCTGGGGCCTTTACCTTTTAAATGTCTAATGCTGATTTTTGGGAATCTTTGCAACACTTGGTGTTCGCTTTGGCCAAATGTGTACATTTAAGTAAAGATGAATTTAGGCCCTAAACCTATAATCAAGATTGCCTGGTGCAAGGCTTGTGGATTACATGTAACGCATACACATCCACACAGGTCTAATTACAACACTGTGTCTTTCAGCTCTGACTTCTGTGATTGTAAAATACTTAATGCATCTACATTACAATAAGACTAAATTAGATTGTTCGGTGATATTACAGGACATCTACTAACTAATAACAATAAATGCTAAATAGTAACAGAAGAATAACACATTAAAAACAACAAGCAGAATATTTATTTCTAGTAAGAATACTCAAACTCAAGCAGTGTTTGCATACGCCTCAAAAGCAAAAGTACGTGAAACAATTTCTCCTTTATCTATCAGTCAAGAAATATGCCCACAGTTCAGTATTTGTTAATGTGGATAGGAGTTACACTAAAACAGCGTGGAGTAAACAAATTCCTGCACAGTGGTATGGTTATTACTAATACCAGTTACTCTACGAGGGCAAAGTTGAAGAGACTTTATCAAGATAGAAAATCTGACTTCACTCTGAAAACTGACTTCTACTTCTGAAAACTTTTGGAGGAACAGAGGTTTATATTTTTGCACTGTATATTCATCCTTTGGTAAAGTTCAACTGATGAAGTTCAACCAGAATGGCATTACTTTTAAATACAGATTTTTGTGAGTTTAATGCTAAGGAAGACAGATTTTACCGGTACATATACAAGAATTTAGCTTACATTCAACTCCTTATTAAACCTCAGAAAATCAATCTGGAAGACCAATCTTGAAATAAATAGAAATACAAGCAACCACACCATGCAAGCAATAGTTGTAATTCTCCTGCACACTCCTACACGTGGACTAGACTATTAACACACACACACACGCAAATACGCTTGAAATGTTGAAACCGAAGTACTGAGAGCTCACATTGTTCTTCAAAAAGAAAATGTTGGGGAGCATAGGCAGAATGCAAGTCTCCAGTGCTGTACTGCAAGAACTGGCATAATGATGTTAAAGAACCTTTTAATTTCTTTTACGCTCCACCATCTCTTTTAGTAAGTGCAAACCTAACATATTCAGACAAAAAGCACCAAAAAGAAACCAGCAAGGAAAGAAGTGATGGACAAAGAAGTGGACATAAAGGTCTGGTGAGGCTTTTTGTGAGTAGTGCTTGACTACTAGATAGCATGATGGGTAAGAATATTTCGAGTCTGAATTGCGTTATTTTTCACAAAGATTGTGGAAAGAACAAAGAATTTTAATGAGAGATGTTTTGACTGCAGATCAGCAATGGCTCCATTGTCATATGTTTAAATAACATAGACCAAACTGCGGACATTGTATGGCATTGTCAGCACAACCCAAGTCGTAGGATGGCTGAGGAAGAAATAATGGTGCAGTGTTAGAAAAGGCTGGCAAAAAGACATCCAGAATATGCAGACTTGATGTAGCAAGGAAATCGCAAGTTTTGCATGTTACAACTAAACCAAAGGATGTGATTAAATTAACCTGCTAACATATTTCCATCAGAGACTAGGACATCACAGACTACTATATCATACAGCGGAAAATGAGGTAAAAGTCTCTGATGAGCTGCTACACAATAATGAAATCATGTTATTGGGTAACTGTTAATGTAAGCAATGAAAATGTCTACGAACGTACTGTAGTTTCCACACACAAGAGCCACAAAACCACATGGACATGTGCTTTTACATTCACTTGGCAAGAGACAATTGGCAACGCTCCCTTTTTCAATAACATCAGTCCTTTCTTTTCCAAGTTTTACCATGAGAAGCCCACAGTTAACTTAAATGTTATACATATTGTGATAGGGAACAGCAAACAACCGTGAATATCTGAATATATTCTATTACACAACATTCTGTGATCCAAGCCCAGGAGTTTATTAAGGTGTTTTGTGTTATTTTAAACAAAAGGTGTGCAAACAGCTCAATTTGGTTTGATGGTAGCCTGACTCACTGGCATCTGTTCATGCCTTCAATAGTATGAGTTAAAGGAATCTGAACGACAGAAGCTTCACTCTGTGAATTTCTGAGATTTTGAGATTTGATTTCAATCTGAATGAGAATAGAAATTTTTGCTAACACACACCTAAAGAAATTGGGGTTTTTTATTCAATCAAAATGTTGTCCTTCAATCATACCTTTAATGTTGGACTACATTACAAGATGTAATTCAACATTAACCCCAGAAGGGAGAAATTAAACTGTATTGTCAATTTGCTCTTTTTCCTGTTTTTTCTCCCAATATGAAATTGCAGTGGAACAAATGTTTGCATGAAGCTTTCTGATAGGAGACACCTAATATTACAGAATATGGCTCCAGCAAAGTTTCTCTGTGGGCAGTACTAACATCTAGTAGAGCTGTGTCTGCTGATCTGTCCATGGAATAGAAAACACATCCATCACGAAGCTCTATGGTCCAGCAAAGTAAGTAAAGGAGATGGAGGCAATCTCACTTGCTCAAACCAACCACCATCCAACGCCTGCACTAGTGTCAGTTCTTCCAGTACTTGTGGAAAGATCTTGCAGTTCATGATGTGGACCATCAGGAAGAGAAAGATGTTGCCAAATCATCTGCCTTCCAACTCATTTCTCAATTTTTCTACAAAATCTCAAGCACCACGTGAAACTGTATATGAAAGTGTCTGCGTTACTCTTCCTTTTCAGCAACACACAAATAATTACACACAGATCAGAAAATTAGATTTCTTCCTGTTTAGTTATCTGATATGCAATCTCATTGGCACAAAGTGACTAAGAGTCAAAGACAGAGATGGAGCGTAATGTAGAAGCTGGAGTTCTAGAAACGATTTATCCTGTGTGCAAAATTCCCCCTTGTTCTCAGCCCTTACTCATTTGAGAGTCAGAGTGAATATCATAAAAAAAGATGTTCAAAAGACAAGGCAGTATGAAACATTCAGCAACATCAGATACTAAATAATAATTAAAAATCTCAGTAGCCACAGTGATTTTACACAAGCCTCCTACTGACTGTTCTTGGGGATCTTTTTTATCTTAGCATTTTATACTTTCTGTGCAGGTACGTGTGTGGGTGCAGGGAGACAGAGCACAAATATAGACCAAAAGTATTTCAGCCTATAAATACACTGTCTAGGAAGCAGAGGTTTAGCTTCGGAGGCAGGAAGAGAAAGAAGACCGAGAAGAACTGGAATATAACAAGCAGAAAATCACAATGAGACTGGAAAGCAGCAAGAAGCAAAATGCAGCCGTCAGTGGCTATGGGAATCAAGTCAAACTCTGGCACTTCTCCTTAGCGCAAAGGAATAAACAGGGAGGGCGCTGAAGATGAACAAGGGTAAAATGGATAGCAGCAGGAACAAGGTGCTGCTACTGCAGACAACACCTGACAGGAATAATTGGCACTTCTTAAAGTGGTAAGAAAATTACCGAAATTTTATTATGAATTTGATGGACTCTATATACCATATGTTCTTACAAACCTCCAGTTTCTTTTTCCATCTAAATACTTATTACAAAATACACAAGGACAACAAGCGAACATGTAAGGCACCAGGGCAGAGGCATCTGGCCAGTTCCCATCTGCCAGAGAACTGTCACTTACAATCACCATTTTCACGTGATTTCTTTTTTTTGTTTTTGATTCAATAGTAAACTTGGTATTGAATTTTATTGTATTGAATTCTCTGTTTGATGTACAGGGGTAATTTTATGCTATTATACTTTTTATTCGATGTGCAGTAAGAACTTCCTAAATAACATGCTTCAGCTTTGGTTAAACCCGGCCAGAGATCTGTATGCTCGCTCACAGCACGACGAGATGATCAGACTGAACCAAAATGCGCAGCTTCTTTGGCATTGAGTGGCATTATGCCTGTCTTATTCTCTCCCTTTAAAATCTCATCACGTGTTCAGAGTGCAAGGACTACATACAGTGTTACGGCATGTAAGAGATTGATAAACGACAAAAATACTCTTAGATACAGGAGAACTCAAAAATTGTAATGGGATTCTGATAAAACTTGTTCAGCTACTTTTTCTAAGGGGTGTGGTAAGAGCCAAACGAAAAATTAAAGCCTGACCCATCTATACTGTCTTAGAATACGGCTATGGCTTTCAGTAGCATAAAACGATATAAGCTCTGTAAGCAAAGGATTACACTTAGCAAAAATACATTTGGTGTTTTTAAAACAACTGAGGTGTGAGAGAAGAACATTGTTAAGTCAGTGGTGCTGAGCCATTTTCTTGAAAAACTAATAATGAAAAAGACTGCAGACAATATAGCAGAAAGCTACCATAAAATGGCAAACTTCTGTCAAAAAGATGGTAACTTATACATTCTTTGCTCAGAATACAGGTGAAGTAAATCCATTCAAGAAAACACCATGGACCTACTCTGTAAATACAACCTTTACTCCTGTAGGGACAGTGAGTGAAGGTAATCAGATATCAGCAGTTCAAAAATATATGACCCCTGATTTGGCAAGTCAGTAGGTACATGACTAATACAAAGGCAGAAT